CCTGCTCGCGGTGACTCCCGCCCGGCACCCTCCTCGCCCTCCGCAGGCGGCAGCCTCGGGCCTCCCGGAACCATGGTGAAGTTGGGGAACAATTTCGCGGAGAAGGGCACCAAGCAGCCGCTGTTGGAGGATGGCTTCGACACCATCCCCCTGATGACGCCCCTCGATGTCAATCAGCTGCAGTTCCCGCCCCCGGATAAGGTGAGAGGCCCCCAGCACCCCGCACCGCCGGGTGCGCACCCCCCAAATCTCGGGCGGCGGCCGCAACAAAAGAAACGCGCCGCGTGCGCTGGGGACGCGAATTGGGGGCGGGCTCGGGCGGGGTAGAGGACGCCCCCCGGAGGACCACGTCCCCGCGCGGGATTCTGGATCGGGTGATCTGGGGGGTCCCCCGCCTTAGGTGACAGCTTCATCCTGACAGTGGAACGCCGTAGGTAAAGGTCCTTTCCTGATTTTCGTGGGAATCTTGTCCAAGAGCGGGCACTGGCCCCACCGCTGCCAACCCAGCCCTGCTTATCCCAGCCCCGCGGTACCCGGAGCTCGGGTTCCGGGATGAGCCCAGGGGCGGCGCGGCTGCCCCTCGCCTTCACAGGTGATGCAATTCCAGCCCGATTTGCCCCTTTGCGGTGGGGAGATGGACCCTCCTTAGGGGCTGAATCCCCTTCTTTACCCTCTCTGCCCGCCCCTCCCACACCGGTGGTAAATGCGGCAGGGTGCGCGCTCCTACACCGCCTCCTTCCTCTCTTTGTTCCTTTTGTGAAATCTCCAAATAAGCACTTGTGCTCCTCAGTGTAACTGGGGACAACCATTCATCATCCTCTTCTCAGAGCGGGGTTTTTCTTTGTGCTGAATTTAAAGAAGCACCCCCTCTTTCCTTAAATACAGCACGCAATCAAGTAGTTCCTGTCCATTAAGAGCCATATTTTCCAGAGTTAATGCTAAAAGATGTTGAAGAGTCTAGACAATTATATTGTAAAACTCAAACCTAAAATAATCAACACGCATCCATTCTGATAATCTTGCTGCTGCTTAAAACCACCGCAGCCTCGTGTTAGCTCACTCAGTTTCCTGAAGGGTCTCCGCGTTTGTTGTTTCATTTAGTCCCTGGCAGGGAGGTTGCGACTCAGGGCTTGTCGTTTGTTCCAGCATGTTGGTGATTGCTGGCCACAGGGCAGGGTAGGGATGGGGGACTGTCCCTGCGGTGGGTCCTATCTTTCTGGAAGATTTGTTCATTCCCATGGTGGGTCTTTGGAGAGACTAACTCAGCTCCGCAAAGTGGTTGTGATTCCGCCCAACTCTGGTCTGTGTTTGGGTAGTGGGGTGGGGATAGGGGCAGGAGGGAGGCTGCAGCAGGTGCTTCATTTCAAGAAAAGAGGCTCAGCTGGTCACACCTGTGCACCCTGGCCACATGGGGCCACTCTGAAGCATTGATGGCCCAAAAGAGGCTTTGCAGGAGGGCCGGGCTGCCTGAGGCCTCAGCTTCTGTCTCGCCTCCCCTTCCCTGTCAAGGTGTCAGACTTGCCCAGTTTGCACAGCCTGGTGCCACTGTCCCCACCTTCCCCTCCTGCCTCAGCCCTAGAGTGGTAGTGGCTGGTGCCAGGAACACCGTGTCCCCATGCAGCACCTTTGTCAGGTGATTCCCTCCATGCAGCCTCAGCCTCCTCTTTTGTCCTCAGTCTGTTCCATTCCAGAACCATCTGGCACACGGTTGGCTTATACTGGGGAGGAGGGTTTCAGGCCGTCCTGGAGTAGCCCAGGCAGCAGGTTTCACCTGGTGGGTCCCCCATCCCTGGGGGCAGCTGGCAGGGTTGCTCCAGAGGTGGGAGTCTCGCAGGGAGTGACTGTTGAGCCAGAAGATTCCTGAGGTCGCAGATGAGGAAACCAAGTCTCAGAGAACTTCTGGGACATGCCCAAGGTCGCACAGTCCCCCAGAATGCAGAAGTCCTGGCAGGGCCTCTGGCTCTGCCCTGCTTGGAACCAGCCTGCTCTCGCACAAGACATCTCCTAACCTGAATAGCAGTAGCATGTTTCTCCCAGCCGGGGTTCAGGGAGGCGATGTCATCTGCCCCAGGTGCCATGTGTCCCAGGGCGGATAATCTAGTTCAGGTTGTGAACCTGAACCTATGCCGAGCGCCACGTTCTGGAGGTGTGACAGTGCCAGTAGTCACAGGGCTGCAGCAGTGGCAGGCCCGGCTCACCTGACCTGTGTTGAATGCTTGCTGTGCACCAGGCGCCCACCTGCATGCTTGACAGCTTTCAACTCCTTTAATGTCCTGATGTTAGGAGGGAACTACCACTATTACCTCATTTTACAGATGTGGAAATGGAGGCACAGAAAGTTTAAGGAACTTGCCTGAAGTCACTTAGCCTATTAGTGGCAGAGGCCGACTGAATCTGGGCTGATGAATGCTGACGGGGTCCCTCCTGGGCCGGGGGTTCATGGAGTTCCTCTTCTTTGCAGTAGCCCAACCAACAGGCTTTCCTCCCATTTCACAGGCCAGGACACGGGGTTTCCGAGTGGCCGAGTGTGTGCTCAGGATCACACGGCTACTCAGGTCCAGGTGGGCTTGGCGGATGGCAGGGTGAGGCCCAGGTGCTGCTGAGAGACAGGCACCCGGGGTTGGTGGAGGGGCACACACAGGCTGCCACGCTGGGCACAGAGGGAGAGCTGCGGGCAAAGGGGGGAAGGGAGAGGCAGGAGAGGGTTTGCCCTGGGCAGAGGCGGAGCAGGTTTGCTGGTTGGAAAAACATCTCCTGCTTCACAGTGCAGAGGGGAGGGGGAACAGAGCGGGCTGACCCTTTAAGGGCTGTTGCAGAGACCCAGAGAGAGGAGGGGAGCGGGGTGGAGACAGACAGACTCCCCATGATCAATTTCCCTGAAGGCTGGCTGCCTGCTCCTTCCTAGTCCTGAAGGGGAATAATGCGTGTGCATCTTCTCATTTACCCGTGGCGGCCGCCAGTAAAGACGAGTGAAAAGCCAAGTGCATCCTCCCCACCACCTGGGCTGATGAAGCTCTGGGCAGTGAAGGGAGCCCCGCTGATGCCTGTAAGCCCTGCCACCTGTTAAGTACGAGGCCTTGGCCAATGAGCTTAACTTCTCTGCCCCACTGTTATCATATTTCCCTCCTGGGGCTGCTATCAGGATTATTAATGGGTAATTTCTCTGAAAGTCTTGGCACAGAGGAGATTTCTAAGAAGTGGCTATTCTCTCAAAGACTTCCTGGCCAAATGGTGACTTTGAACTTGAGGGTTCCCATACCCTTCTTTTTGGGGCAGGTGTGTCTGAATGTATCTGGCCCCACCACTCACTGTTTGCTTCTGTTTCCTGGACAAGGTGGTTGTGAAAACTAAGACCGAATATGAACCTGACCGCAAGAAAGGCAAAGCACGTCCTCCCAAGATAGCCGAGTTCACGGTCAGCATCACCGAGGGTGTCACCGAGAGATTCAAGGTGAGTGCCCTGGAGGTGAGTGAGATGCTGCTTTTGCCCCCAGGTGGGGTCCCCTGAGCTGCAGAGATGACCAGGGAGTGACGGGGAACAGGATGAGACACCGTCTCTCTGGGCTGATCCCACATGTGCGAAACCCACTTCGTGATTTTTACAAATTTCTTGTTTTATCTTCCAAAATGATCACCTATTACTTAGTTTTAATAACAGGGAAAATTTCTAAACTTTCTTTTAGACGAAGGTTAGAAACATATGGAAGGTCACTTACCAAACATTAAAAATCTTTACCTACAGTTCTGGGAAGGGGCAGACGGTAATAAAAAAGCAGCCTGTTGTAACTCATCTGGTGCAAGACCAGGCTGAGCCTTTACATTTGCGGGCTCATGTGAGCAGCCCTCCCCGGGAGGTCAGTGCTATCTATGTCACCCATTTTGCAGATGGGGAGGTTGAAGCACAGGGTGGTCACAGCTCTTCGTGGCAAGGCCAGGATCCAGAGGTCATCCAGTCCAGAGCCCTCGTGTTCACACTCCATCTGTCGCCACCCCGGGCACAATGCAGGGGTGTGGGGCTTGGCCGGCGCTGTACACTGGTTGCTGGAAGTGCTCGCTTTGGGGAGGGAAGCCTTGCTCTGGATGGTTCTTCAGGCAGGGCAGGGACAGCTGGGCCTGGGGACAGTCTTTTCCACTGAGTCTGGGGGCCTCAGAGGGTGGAGGCAGCTGGGTTGGTTGAGGAACAAGTTAGGATATGAATCTTCTGGAAACTTGTTCTTTGGGAAACATGAGAGATGGTAAAATGAGGCCCCTAACTTAGATTCAAGAGAGTGATTTGGGAGCCAGCAGTGTGTCACCCAGGCCTTGAAGACTAGCCTCGGCTGGCTCCCTGGTTGCCCCCCACGTGGATGTGGGAGCTGTTTGCTTTTGCCGGGGGCACAGCTGCCCGCTCACTGCAACAGCCCCACAGTTTCCAAAGCCCCTTTGCATACACGGTGTCCTTTTCCACCTTCACGGCAGCCCTGTGAACTGGCTAAGAGATGAAAGTGATGCCTGGACGGCGAGGTGGCTTCGTGGGGTGACTGTGGGCACCTGGGCATAATATGACTTTAAATCTTCTTCCCACCTCTCTGTGATGCCTCCTGGGGCTGGAGAAAAACCTGCCAGGCCAGAGGATTGCATTGGAGTTGCCACCTTTTGTGTCTGGGGGTGCATTTACTTGTGTTCACTCATCCAGTCCTCCCAGCAGCTCCCCCAAGAAACAGGTGCTGTTAGTTTAACCCATTTTACAGATGGGGAAGTTGAGGCACAGAGAGGCCCATAGTTTCTGCTGGTGGCCTCAGGAGGGTATTTAGGCTGAGGTGCTCTTCTAGCACCTCCTGGCCTGGCAGCTCATTGTTTTGAGGTTCATGGGGGACCAGGTGAGATTGACCCGAGGTCAGCATCTCTCTCCGGCTCTGGCAGGCCAGTTTGGCATGTGCTGAGTCTGTGGCTGTTTGCACGGCCCTCCCTGTTCACGCCCTGGGAGCAGCCCCTGGCTGAGGCAGCAGTGACCTCGGTTTCAAGGTCATAACAGCTGTCATCCTGATGGTGGACACTGTCTGGGTTTTTCATCCCTAACTTGAACTTTGCCTCTCCTGGGCCCAGCATCTTGGGTCCCCATGGAGCGAGGAGCTTTGTGGCACTTGAACGGCCATCCCTTTATCTGTTGAGTGTCAGTTGTGTGCCAAACCCTGCCTCCGGGGGCCTTTGTGCTTTGCATGCACGCTCACCTGATGCAGGTCCCCAGGTCCCTTGTTTAAGGTGTGGGTGACGCACATAGGCCACCAGGGCTCTTGGTAGCCACAGTGGGGCCATTGTGTGGTTACTTGGCTCCAGTTGCCCAGAACCTGAGGGCCCAGAAGATCAGTGCCCATCCCAGTGGATCGGGTTGTGGTGGCTCCCGCCTGCTCCCGCCTCCTGGGGATGCCCGAGAAGGTGGTGTATACAGTAGGTGCTCAGGGGGTTATTGCCCTGCAGTGGGTCCATTTCCCTAGTTCCATACAGAAATGGACCAGGCATGTCCGTTCACTCAGATCTGTGGCCTCCTTATGATTCACAGCATCACAGCCCCTTTTGCAAATGAGGCTGTTGGTCCCAGGGGGTCACCCCCCACCACTCTGTCT